GGAACAGGTTGCAATGAGATGCTGAGTACTCCCTGTCCCCAGAGGTGTTCAAGACTAGGCTGGATGGAACTCTGACTAACCTGGTCTAGTGGAACATTCCCCGCCCATGGTAGGGGGGTTGGAACTAGATGATCTTAAGGGTCCCTTTCAACTCAAATCATTCCTTGATTCTATAAATGCAGATTATAAAAATAATTTTACTTTTAAGAATGAAACTCTTGAAATATTTTTGGGTTTATATTTTGATTTTGCTGCTAGAAACAGCATCATGACTGGTGCAGAAAAAAGAAAAAATTGTAGAATGTTGTAGGACACCAGATATCTCTGGATATCTGTATGTCTTCAAATAGTTGGTCATGATAGAAAATTAAAAAAAGTAAAATTAAAAACTACTGTTTTCTAAGATTCATCCACAGCTAAAATAATACAGTGGAAACTGGAGTTACTGCCAAAATAGATTTTTTTTTTTCCCAACTGAGAAAGCAATTAAAGGGTTCAGTGAAAAATGCATACTTCCTTTTGTGGTCAATGATTCCTCAAACAATTGAATGTCAAAATGCTTTTCATAGCTTCTTACTAAGTAGTTGAAAGGGAAATCATCCATTGTATGACTACTTTAAAGACAACCATGAAACTGGAGAAAAAGAATTAATATTTACGTCCACCCAGTTGCTTTTCTCTCATCATGAAAACTTCCTGTAGGCAACTCATCATTTGACCTTGAAAGCTTTGCATCATAGAATAATAGAATCAAAGAACAGACTATCCTGAGTTGGAAGGGAACTTTGAAGGTCTTCTAGTCCAAACCCCTGCAATGAGCATCAAAATTTTTAATTGCTTTTCCTTGTCTACCAAAGCAGTTTTAGAATTACCAGTAGCTCTATTTTATTTTGTTAACGTGAATACATAGAAACATTGAAGAATGTCACCTTTACACAGTCATTTAAAGGACCTGAAATTGCTTTTCACTATGGAAGAAAATAAATTAAGCAAAAACTTGCTGGTTGACATTTAAAAAAAATTAAAGTTATGTAACAGAGGTAAGGATAAAAAGAATTAAGTACCTAAATACTATTTAAATTTATTTCACACTCTATTCCAAATGTTTAGGATGCATCCTTAAAATGAGAAGCAACAAATCTCACATACCTCCAAATTTATGACTTAATCTGTTAAGCAAAGAATAATTTACTATGGTGAACTGAAAATAGGAAGCTAAAGGTGTATGGGAAGATTCAATCATTTTTTGAGGAGAAAGAAGAACAAAAAAAAAAAGAAAAAAAGCGCCAATTCTGTAGGAAATCAGAGCAGGCAGCGAAAGAGGTTTGTATGGTGTGTTGAGGTTGAGGGGAATGTACAAGCATGTGTTGCAAGACTCATCTTAGAAAAGGGTACAATGTTTGATATTTGAGAATAGCTATCTCAGTATCAATAACCCCACCAAGACTGTGACACTTCTATAACTTTCATTCTTAAATACAACAGCAGAAAAATTAGTTTTCTTGTGTAAACAGAAGCTCACAGATTGCAGAAATCTGCTGCATATTATTTCTAAGGCCAATATTTCTATTATACAATTTCATTTTTATGCATAAATGCTGTTATTAAATGATTTAAGAAAAAAAGAGCTATTGAAATAAATAATATGTTAAAATTGATGTTAAGCACAATTTTAAACAACGTTCATCCCAACTGAACCTTTTGCATTGTGATTTCTTGTACCTTTTCTCCATGGACACTACCTTTTTAGTGGGTGTCTCTGATAAAAAGTGCTGAAGAGAGTTAGATCTGAAGGCAGGGCACCCTTATATACTATCTACACAGATAAACCCCCAGTTTCATGTTATCTAACTTAAAAGACTTACCTGAGATATCTAGTCAGGCTCAACCTAGGTCAACAGAAAAAGCACATCCTAGAGAGAGCTGAAGAGAGATGCTATGCACCATAGCTCGTGCTTTTCTATAAATGGACGGAACATGAACTTATATGTATATTAAGAAGTTAATACACTACTATCTATGAAACAAAGTTTGATTAATATATATTAATCTATTAAAAATATTACCATATATACCATACATATATAACCACTATAACCATTGATATAACCAGCAGTTTTCCAATTTAGTGCCAGGTAAAAATCCATCCAAACAGTGTAGTAGAAGATGCCCTCATGAGGAGGTCTAAGTTGAAAAGTGGCTTTGGCCAAGAATAAAAGACACATGTTTAGGCAGCCTCTCATCGACCTGACCTCTAGATACGCAACCAGTGTTCAGGGGTGGGCATCCTCCTAAAAACATTCTGGTCTTGCATTCATGTGGACAAAACATCTGAGGAATAGCTGTTACCATAGGATAAATGTCTGTTCTTTATCAGAATGTGCACACCTGTTTGTTCATGTCTTTACAGTAAATCAGCTTGGCATGATATTAAAAATTGAAAGGCAAAAAGTTAAGAAGCAAACTGAAACAGAGAACCTTAACTAAACCAGCTTTACTAGCAAACCTAAAGCACATAACAAACCAAATATACATCAAGCTGTGTCTCAGCAACAAAAGGAAATAAAACTAAACAGTCTGTGCAGTTTTGCCAATGATTGCTTTCATGACTGGCAGCAGCACAAGACCATACAAGACATGTGAGAGAGCATCAATTAGGAAAAAAAGAATCCTAGTCTCAGAACCATGCATTTCACCTAAGGGAAAACAATTAAGATGTGCCTAAATGTTCTGCACTTGAAAGTAATATATTTCTAGAAATATATATTTTGTAGCACTTGATCTTGAGGCATCACTAGCTGTTACATTCATATAATTTCCTTATCCTACTGGAAGGGATGCTGACATTGCAACAGATTCAGAGAGAAGAGCTGGCCAATTTTTCAGAAAGAAATACTCTCTGCCACACAATACAGCTGAAAGCAGCAGTTACACAGGGCTAGGAGGGGAACAAAGAGCTGCCAGAACCTAAGAGCTGACAGGTTGGACAGAAACCAAGGTCAACGTAGTGCAGTTCCATGCTGTGATCTAGTACCAGATGCCTCAGAGGACAGCACCAGAAAATAGCACATTACAAGTATGGAATAATTTCCACTCAGAAATATCTCTTTCATTGGTGCTGGAAACTGCAAATCTGTGTAGTTAGGAATTCCCTTAGATCCCCTTAGCCACAGAAACAGGGCTTCCAAATCATCTTACCATTAGTTAGTGATAATGCCAGGTATTCTCTGTCTAAATCCCACAAGTCTTCTTCAAATTATTGCAAGTTCCTGGCCACATATTCTAAGCTTTCATGTTATGGCACAAGAAGAATCTTGCTGAAGCACCTATGGAGGGTTCAAGACACCAAGCTTTTTTTTCAAAGAACAAAATATAACACTCTCAAAAGGAAACTAAGCCTGAAACAGCATGCATCAAGAAGGAAAGTAGTATTTTCAAGGAGAAATTGTATACTATCTGGGTAGCAGATACAGCCAATTCATAGGTGGCCAATGAAGAGTCTACAGTTGTTCAATGTCTTTTTTTTTTGTGTAGGTATTCTTAAAATGTCTTACAAAGTTTAGAATATTTGTTTAGATTTTGTCTTCCATGACTTGTGCAGCACTATGCATCATGATGTGATGACATTTAGGGGAAGCAGTTTATTTTTCTCATGTATTTAGTTCCATTTTGAAGGCACTTACAAAGATGCTGAGTTTGCTGGAACTTGTTCTACTGATGTTTGTGTTTATTTAGGCACATTCTATATTTACCTTTCTGTTGTTGCTGCGATCTTCGGGACATTCACAGTACTGTGAAGCAGAAAATTTTTTTCTAACTTCTGGAATTTTCGGATGTGTGTATGTACATGAAGAAACAAACATATAATAAATGTAGGATATGAATTGTATACATACATTGCATGATGCATATATGTAACATGCATAATATTTCCAAGAGAAAGTGTACTGGATATTTTATTAGACTGGATTACAGACGTCAGTTAAACAATGGTTTTCAGCACTTTTTAATTTCATTTAGCCTTTATTTAGCTTCAGACCACATGATTGACAAGACTTGCATTAAAGGCTGCATCCTGCCAGCAACAGAAGCCATTCAGCATGCTCTGAATTTGGTGGGAATTTAGGATCTGAAGCACCTTGCAAGAATGAGCCATAGTACTGTCATCCCATGCCACAAATCCACAAACCAGAAGAGGCCCTGTGGCTCTGCACAAACTGATGTGAAAATCTAGAATATTTTTAGTGATGGCTCAGTAGAGATCTGTGCTTGAGGGAAATCATAACTGAGTGGTGTCTAGTGCTACATCTATATTGGCTTTGGTGGCTAGGATTGAGATGAGGCTTGAGTTCACGGAGACAAGGGGTTTGAGTTTTTTGCCTCTTTATTGCCCCTGTGGGAAGTTCAGGGAAGCCTGGAGAGCTGCTTGGGCTCAGACCACACTATATATGCCATGCAAGTCAGCTCATAGGAAATTGCACCTGGACCAACAGTACGATGTAGTTGTAACTTCACCTGTTTCATGTTACACCACACCTACAAACTGTGGGGGTCATAGAAACATAGAGTATCCTGAGTTGGAAGGGACCCACAAGGATCATCAAGTCCAATCCCTGGCTCTGCACAGGACAACCCCAAGAGTCACACCATGTGCCTGAGAACATTTCCTAAACACTTCTTAATCTCTGTCACTCTTGGTGCTGTGACCACTTCCCTGGGAAGCCTGTTCCAATGCCCAACTGCTCTCTGCATGAAGAACCTTTTCCTTATATAAACCTAAACCTTCCCTTACCCAGCTTCATGCCATTCCCTTGGGTTCTGTTGCTGGTCACCAGAGAAAAGAGATCAGTGCCTGCCCCTCCACTTCCCCTCATGAGGAAGCTGCAGACCATTATGAGGTCTCCCCTCAGTCTTCTCTTCTTCAGGCTGAACAGACCAAGTGACGTCAGCTGCTCCTCATACAGCTTCCCCTCCAGACCCTTCACCATCCTTGTGGCCCTCGTTTGAATGCTCTCTGAGAGCTTAATGCCTTTTTTATATTGTGGCACCCAAAACTGCACACAGCACTTGAGGTGAGGCTGCACCAGCACACAGTGGAGAAAGACAATCACCTCCTTTGACTGTCTGGCAATATCCTGATACACCCCAGAACACGGTTACTTAAGTGTTTGCATTCACCAGAAAAATCAGGCAGGCTATTAAATTATTTTCTTGTCTCAGTTTCATAACTCAGTGGTTCTGGTTTTGAAATAGTTCAAATACATCCCCTGCTGTGTGATGTGCAATGTTGAAGTGGTGAGGCAACCAGAGGTGAGCAACCCTGTGTTGCAGAGCCAGCCAAGGTACAGCCATCACTGGTGAGTGGGAAAGCTCTAATTCAGCCTGGTGTCTGGTCTTTGGTGGAGTTTTTTTCCTTGTTTCATGTGTGGAGATCACTGCTAGAAAAGTTAGCTTAATTCTCTGAGAAGTGAAAGTGTTTTCATGATCTGTGTTGCCACCCCACAGGGAACACAAGTTTGGCAAGATGAGATCGACTGAATATGATGCAGTGAAAAAAGAGACTGCCAGTGCTTGAGGAAGGTGAGGGCTGATCTGCGGGCTTCACAGTGGACATGGTATGGGATACAAAATGATGGTGGCTTTCAGGTCCTTTATCAATTTTCCTGAAATTGCCTCAGCTGTTACAATGTGCAGCTCGATTAACTGTCACACCTTTCTAGAGAGAAAATACATTTATTTCTTTTAAATAAATTGTGAACTAAAACTCAGACAAAAATTCCTTAAAGGTGTGAAATGCTGATGGATGATGTTATTTGAAGTCTGAAAGTCAGAGGATGTATGCTTCTCTCTGCTACCTGGCATGAGATGGTCGTGTTGGGAAGGGGCAAATTGCTTGCACTGGAACAGAGCCTTTCCTCCTTCTCCTCTATTCCATGAGCAGTCAGCATGGCAACTGTAGTTGGGTGCCTTCATGCCCTCTCAGGTAGAAGTGCAACCCATAATAGAGGGAAGAGGGCACAAGCTGAGGAGCATGACACTGCCTGGCTACAGCATGTTGCCTCTTCTCCTGCCATGTACTGGTGGCCTGGCACTGCTTGAGGCTGTGCTCAGAGGTGCTCTCATGCCCCTGCTCTTATGCTGGCATCAGATGGGGAAGACCAGGACAATGCACCAAACCATCTCTGTCTCCATGACTATCTGGTTTCATCAGCTCAAACCCCTTGTGATGACACCCTTCAGTGCTTCCTGAGACCTGGGGTGGCCATTCCTTCTGCCCTGCAGCTGACAGAGCTCTGCTGCTCAGGCTTCTCTGATTTGTTTCTTATGGTAAATTACTGACATAGGAGAAGCTGAATAATTCACTGGATTGACTGCAAACTTCATTAGAATTTAAAAATTATCTAATTCCATATAATTTTGGCTTTCCTCCTTTGTTTCAGATCTGGCCAACCTGGCATAGGAGAGTGGGCAGTTGCCTGAGGCTGTGATGGGATCAGGGTGGTTGGTACCTGCAGGAAGCACTGTGCATGCTGGCCACGTGTTCCATTGTACTGCTGTAGGGCCTGTGGGTGTGCATCAAACCCACAATGGAAATGCTCTGGATTAAAAATGGAAACAACTTTTTCCAAGGCAAACTTTTTCCCAATCCCTGTCTTTTCATGGTTCCAGTTCACAGTGTGGTCCCACAGACACTGTGCCACAACTGATAAAAATGAGTTGCACCACATAGGTGGGAAGGGGTAGGAACTTCCTAAGCCTGTTTTTTTGTCAAAGAACAGTATATTTGTTAATTTTACTTCAGCCAGGGGAATAGGTCAGTGTCAAACAGTTTATAGCAGATCTCCTCCTCTCCTATACCTTGCACAATCACTGACTCCAATGTCAAGTGAGTATTAAATACTAGTGTAGTGTATGGTTTAACTGATTGTATAAAGGCAAATCAAATGAAAATCAGACCCAAAGTTACCTCCTCCCTCTTCCTGGCACCTTGCTCAGAAAAGTTACAGTTTAGATTTTTTTTAGGGGGAGTGACTGTCAAAACTTTAAACATCTTGAAGAATTGAAGATCGGTAAAATCCTCCATCCTGAATTATAGAGATGCTACTGTCTTTGGCTGATGGTGCCTTCATCTTCTTTTCTGTACAAAGCAGCAGCAACTTGCAAATAAATACACGTTAGTGTTTATTTTGTCTTACCGAGAAGAGATGGCCTACATTTCTACATTTTAAATGTCAAGGAAAGGGCCAAACAAATGAAGGAGAAATTGCTCATCTAGCAAAGCTACTGGTCCACACATACTGGAATAGGAAATGGAGCTAGGGAAGATTGGTTACAGTATCAGCCTTGGGTTCAATACAGAGAATTGTCTTTCAGATAGTGATTTATGGCCCATAAACACATGGTTCATCATAATATACTTGACTAGTGTCTGTCTGTTTCCAGGTGATCGTATGAGTGAATGAAACAGTCAAAAAACTTCCATGTGCTTTTCCAGCACATTTTCGCCTACCAGGAGTCCTTACAGTTGACAGGGATGTTTGCAATGGGCGAGGGCAATTTCTCAAGCTATGGTTAGTGAAGGAGATAGCTCACAGAATTCTCTCTGCCTTGAGCTGCAGCTCCAACCATGGGGAGGTTGAGAATGTGAAGTTGCTGATTAATGATGTTTTCAGCAGAAGATGCATTTTCAGCACAGATTTTTTTTAAAAGCCCCAACATTTATTTATTCATTCCTTTACTATGTGATAATCTATGCAGTTAACGTTGAACTTCAAAAGCACTTTCATGCTTTAAGGGAGAGGTGTCAAATAACGCTGTAGAGAGGTGTTTTTCCATCTGTTTGTGCTGTGTTTTTATGTTACTTTTTGTGGGGCTTTTTTTTTTTGTAACCCAAACTATTTCTGAACTGGATATTTCAGAACTGTGGGATCTGTTGCTACATACTTTTTGCCTTTGGAGATTATTTGTCTGAATCCTTATAGTCTAGTCAAAAACTGAAAAGAAAGTCTCACCAACAGCAAAATAAGTAGTGATCTGAGATAAACTCTGCAGGTGGAGCAGCTCAGGGTGTAGCACACTCAAAAGAGGTCCTGGGGAAGAGGACCTGGGCAATGCTGGCAGTGCTGTCACAAGGAGCATGTAGTAAGTTTTTTTTGTAATGTGTGCATCCCACAGTAATTTCTGTTCCTCAAAAAAGTTGTCCCTTTCCATGCTGTCATCTAACAAATGCCCAGGAGGAGGCTGTTACTTTATACTGATTGTGATAGTGACCACAGGATGTGAACACTGTGGAAACCTCCAAAGGATCTGTGAAGCAGGTGATTATTTTTAATGTCCTTCTCCTATGCTGGTGCCATGTTGGGGTCTGGCACGCTCACAAAGATCTCCAGTCATAGAGTGTTCCCTATATTTTACTCTTGAACCATTCTTACTGCTGCGTAGTTTTTCCTCGACTGTTCCCTGGGTCTTCTATTCTGAAAGTTAAGTGCATTTGTTTTTCTTTGTTCAGCACAAAATAGATTTGGAAAAAAGACTGTTCACCTTCACTTTGCAGCATCGAGAGTTTTATTATTTTTCTCTCAGCCTTCTCTTTAGGCTAACCAATCCCATTTCATTCAGTTTTTTGTCATATGACATGCTTTACAGATCTGTGATCATTCCTATTGCTCTGCCTGTTCACCTGCTCCTGAATCACACTGCCCATGACCTTCTGCATCTTCAGGCTACAGTTCTATTTTTATAATCAAGCATGATGATGTCTTTTCCACAACAGAAAGGACGTTGTTGATTCAATTTCATCTCTTGCTCCCGATCTGAGTGATCCTAAGATCACTCTAGCACAGTGACTGTGTAACTAATGGTTTCCCATTTTGGATTTGCTAATGATCATTCCTGACTGGATACAGCAAATTGCATTTGCCTCTAGAGAGGATCTCTTTTTGTTTTAAAGTGCATCTTCAATTTGTCAGAAAGCTCTGAGCTTTGTCCTCTGCTGTTATGTTACCAAGGAAGAGTGTCCTGTTTAACCTTTCTGCAAATCCGTTAATATTGTTTGTCAGTGTACTTTGTGTTTGGGAGACACTTCCCTTTCCCACTGGGAGAGGAGCTGACTACTTCTGTCCTGCTCAGCTGTTTTTTTGATAGTGCTAAGGTCCTTTGGAAATCTGCAGTGTGCCACATGGTAACTATTCACAACCTGCAAGCTGTGCTGTCAGTTGTTAGTAGTCACCAAACTATTTACTAACCAAAATGTCTTGCAATAGCCAACTACTTTACAGTCAAAAGATAGAACTAAGCAACCTCCAGACAGCGAGAGACAATGAATGTTATCCTCAGGCAGGTACATAAATCAGATCAGCTTAGTCATCTCTGAAAGTGCTCATTCCTCAGAACTGCCTTAACATGGAGCATTGGGTGACTGTCTCAGACACAGGTGTGGCACAGATGAATCCTAGCCCGTCTTTTTGGTGGTCATTTTACTCAGTAGAGTGAAAAAGGCTCATGAAGAACTTCATTTTTCAGTGATCTGTGAAGAGGGCTGTGTTTCTGATTGTGTTACTATAATTAGTGTAATAAACTATCAACTAGGGGAAGTTACTGCCTTCTTTCAAATCTGCCACTATAGACTTGAAATCAATACATTTGTTAGTTCTCCTTACTCTGAAAAAGAATGATCTATTCAGCAGAACAACCACCAAAGTCTTTCTGTGGACTTCAGAGTAAACTGAGCCAGTATGCAATAAGGTTCTTCAGCAGAAGAAAGGCACATGTTCATATAAGGAGAGGAAATTACTTCATGAGCAACATTAAACATGGTTCTCTGATGCTTATTTGGTAAAACCAAGTTGTATTAATGTAACTCACTGTTCTTGTTGATATTACTGTTGTATGTATTTCCCTGGTGTGCATTCTATACTTAGGAATGGAAATTAGTAACACCCTACATCATGAACATTCTGATTTCAATGTAATGGCTCAAGAACTGTGTGTATAATGTATATAGAATAACCTAATAATGCAATAATACCATAATGATAGAATATATTTTATATATATGTGTGTGTGTGTATGTGTGTGAATATATCTCCCTCAGAACTTTTCCTATATTTAGATTTTCTCACCATCTGTAGCATTGTGTTGGAGTAATCCTGCTGGGAAATGCTCAGGCACTGCCTTACTGACTGTATAAATTTTTCCTTGGTACTACACTCACTATTCACTGACCACAGCAGCAGTAAGGTTTCCACTTAACACGATTCACTAGAGGATCTTGTTTTCTTTTTGTGATCAGTTCCTCAGGAGTCTAGAAGCTGCAAGGAGAGATGCTTTGAAACTTGGTTTTCTTTTTGTTAGAGCGTTGTGCCTGTCATATTCACAGCAGTCAATATCAGCAGATTTCCAGACCTGTCTGTGTTGTTTCCAGTTCTCATGCTACTGGGAGATGTGACACCCTGTGAAACAACAGAAGTGAAAATATTTATTTGTAATAGTCATAAAGCTATATAAAAATAAAATGGCTTTTAACAGGGATGTCTGACTAATTTGAGAACAGAAAAACTCTCCATAGGCTAACTAAAATTGTTCCCAAGAACTACTGATGTTATTATGCTTTTGTATTTTGCTTCGTAGAGAGCTTAAAGACTCTGTGACACAAGGTACTCTATAAGTATTAGGTGTTGTCACTGATTTCTACAGGGATGATGCATCATTTAGCAAAACTTCATCCATTATAACTATAAGATATTTCAAGCAATTGTATGTGAAGTGTAAAGTCTTGAATCTGTTTGTTATCCAGTTCTTGCACAATGACTGCAAAATCCTCTTTGACCTTGAAAACCCCTGAGTTTGTGTTTTCAGCTGAAGCTGCCAGTATCAAGGTTGGGGGATATGCGGGTGGGATAGTAGTCCACGTGAAAACTTGCACTGTTCAGAGCCTGATGATTAGATCATTTCACCAAGAAAAAGAAGTCACTGATATCTGACATCTTCATTGTAATGTTAAGAAATGAGGGAGAACATCAGCCCATACAGGTGATTAACTTTCCCTGCTCCCCAAGGGCTGGCTGCTCATCAGCAAGGTCAAAGGCAGATGATGGCCCAGCCTGAGAAATCTGACCCTGTCACCACTTGAACTCTGTGTGTTAGATAAATGTATGTTTGGGAACGCAATGGTTTTTATTCTCCACTGAAGCATGCATGCTGTTCACATTCGATCCTGGGCAACTGGCTCTAGGTGGCCCTGCTCGAGGAAGGTGGCTGGACTAGATGACCTCCAGAGTTTCCTTCCAACCTTAGCTCTTCTGTGGTTATTAATTACTCCTTACTAATTTTTCCCTGAACCTAGGGGATTTTGATTCAATACTTAATAAGAGTTTCTTCTAGCATCAGACTGGTATTATACCACACTTTGTGTTTGCATGCTGACAATGTGCACAGTGGGTGTCATGTTGCTTATGGCGCTGTGACTTTTACTAAATGTGTCACAAACGCTGTGCAATAGGAAATACTGAAAACCTCATAGTGCTTATCAGCTTAACAAGCTAAAATATATTTAATGATGTTATTTTTTCTTTTTATCTGTGCTTGTTCATTTGCAAAATGCGATCATTTGCAATTACCCTGCCTATTGTTAGCT